TTTTTGCGTTGCGTAATTTACGGGCAGTTTTTTCAATATTTTGCATAATTTGATATGTGTAGATAATTTGATATGTGTACATAATTTGATATGTGCACATAATTTGATATGCGTACATAATTTGATATGTGTACATAATTTAATATGTGTACATAATTTGATATGTGTACATAATTTGATATGTGTACATATTTTGATATGTGTACATAGTTTGATATGTGTACATAATTTGATATGTGTACATAATTTGATATGTGTACATAATTTGATATGTGTACATAACTTGGAATGTGTACATAATTTGATATGTGTACATAATTTGATATGTGTACATAATTTGATATGTGTACATAATTTTGCATAATTTTGCATAATTTGATATGTGTACATAATTTTGGAAAGTAAAAAAAAAATAAAATACTGAAAACTAAATTAACTTAATATTCATATAAAAGCCTTAATAAAAACTTTTTCATGCCAATAAAAAATATTCTTATTAATATCTAATGGAAAAATAAATTTTCATATTTCATATTTTCGTAAAATTTTAAAATTCCATAACATGAAATAAACAGTATAGTGTAAGCAATCTATACCAGACGCTTTAACACCCTTTTTTGGTGTATATAGCTATGGTGTATATATATATAAATATGAAAATAAATATAAAGATGGTTTCCACGATTAGTTGCAATAATACATGGTAGTTTGTTATAGTGAAAACTATTTTACAAAACCTCATGATCACCTTTAACACCCTGAAGCCAATAAAGGCAACAGTAAAATCATTTTTACATAAATGTCAACATTCATTATCTGGAGACTTCAATGTTGAACAACATAAAATAGCATTTGAGTTGAGATAAATGATGGTTCATCTCATTCAGATTTTTCGGCCCAAGTTGCACTAACTTTTCTCATTGTAAAATATTTAACAGCAACTTTATCTGACATTTTGTTATATGTATTTAAAATATATAACAGAGCAGTGGCTAGGACTCTTCAACATTTTTTTAGTAACACCTAATGGAAAAAGTTTTATCTATTTTGGGGTCTTATTGATTGGTTTTAAGGAGCCTCGGACCAAGTAGCAAAAGCACTGTTTGAAATTTTTTAGCTATAAAACCTATCAAACCCACGCAATTTAAAGTTTGAATAAATGCCATATAATCATTTGTATTGCGTATATGGTTTTGCAATTATCAGCGTTTCATCAGTTAATTTATCTAGGGCAATAAACTAGCATTCATTTTTAGATAAATATTTTTATTAGCTTTGTGTTTTTTATTCACTTTTAATACTTTTTTTGTTGCTTTGAAGTTATAAATAGAAGCATTGCAATATATTTTTTGTTTATATATACTTTTTTAGCCAATTTCTGCACTTTATAAGTTTTTCTTTTAGCATCAAACCCATAATTCATGGGGCATGGTGTTTAATTTAGCTTTCAATATCTTGAGAAGGAAAAAAAAAAAATACTTAAATAATTTAATAATTATTAGTTTTTTAACTTGATTCTTATTTTTTCTTTAGAAATACGTTTAAAACTGGTTTGCTGCAACCATGAGATTTCGGAGGTTAACGAGATAATATACCAAACAGCATTTACCAAACACCTGACGAAGTAGTTAAAGGTGAGATGACGCAATATCAAGCAAATGTCATAATAGCCTACAATTGTTGACAATAGCTCATTGCATAAGTCATTATAATGCTTTCTGCCCATAAACATAATGCTTTCTGCCCATAAACTTTTTTGATAGAAAATTCTAGAAAAGTTTAAAGATAAGAAATCCTGAACCTGTTTAAAAAAAGTTAAAGTAGCAATTTTATATGAGATCAAAGAAACAAAACATACCTATCCAAAAACACTACCACAATGTTTTGTTACCATGTTTTTCATTATTAACTAAACATTCAATCAAAATAGACTTACTTGATGAATTTTGTCTTGTAAAGAATTGTAGTCTCGATCAGAGTTACTATCGTCCCAATCAATAATTCTTAGTATTTTTTTAACACAATATTTCCGTCCATGTTGCACGATGCAGCTAGTCTGAGATGAGCTGCGAAACATAATGGTGTAAAAAGTAGATTTGCTTCACTAGAATTTTAAAGAGATTTGGCATTTAGTTACGTTATCTAAAGCATCTAAAACTGCATGTTAGACTTATACCACTTTGTTCCACGACCAATTGGTCATTTTAAAGGTTGTATAGTTGTATGATTCAAAACTGAAAAAAATTGACTTTACTATACTATATTTTTCAAACCTAAATGTCTTTAAACATTTTTACTTACTAATATAAATTTTTATAAAATATTTATTCCTTATTAATAGCAACGATTAATTTGTCGATACGCGCATCAAATTGCACACGAAACGACTCATATATTTAAGGGTTCGTAAATTAAGCGCAAAATAAATTTTTTTTTTCAATAAAATATTTCTAGAAAATTTCAAAATAAATAGCTGCATTACTTTTTGTTCATTTTGTTTTGTGTATATAAAAATGTTAAAATTTTTTATTCAAAACAACAATTAGTTCTGAAATTTTTATAAAACTTTAGATTTTTTGAGAACCAGGTTGATGTACACTTGGAGGAATTAGATTTCATGAGGACACAAGTCAGGGTTGCTGCCCCGGGCAGGGCAAAAGCTCTCAGCGCCCCTGTTTGAAAGTTTCTCATTATGTCGTTTCTGATACTTTACCGCACCTAGTGTTTTTTTTTAAAACTTAAGCTTTTTTGAAACATTTTCCCCAAATTTTCCTACTTCTAATTCTACTTTTTCTGTGTGCAAACCATATTAATGTTAAAAAGTGCACAATATCAGTAACTCACATATAATTCCAACTATTCCCAATATTTTTCTAAGACTATTGCTATTTTTTTGATCTTTTATAGCCATACTGTTCTTCTATGTAAACATCGTTTCTCTTTAATCCTCTATCTAATCATCTAATTTTTAATCCTCTATTTAATCATTTTGTTTGCTCTATCTAATTATAGTGTGCTAGCTCAACATCCTCAAGTTTTATTCCCCATAAATTACTGTTACGCATCTTTTCATGTGCTGTATATTTTATTTTTATTTTTAATGCACCTTTTGTTAAGAGTGAATAAAAATCTCTGAATATTACTCAAGTAAATTAATCTTTTACACTTGAACACTCTTTCTCTAAATAAACACTCTTAGCTGATCTAGTTGTATCTACAACATAAAAAATCTTACAAACACACTTTATCTTTTTATTGCTATTTATTTCAAGATCTTTTTTTTACTTCTCTGTATTCATTAAACAAACAATTTCTAAACTAAAAAAAACCCTACGTTAAGACCATTTTGTATTCCACTACAGCTGTTGTGAACCTGCTGCTAAAAAAAAGTACAATTGATAGATTTCTCTCTAACTTCATTTTTACACACTTTTAAGTTTTTTTTTTTTTTTTATTATTATTTTTAATTTTACACTACATAACATTTTCTTAAGCTTCTTTTAATCTTTTACACTCTGAAATTATAGTATTCATTCTTCTTCTGTCTCTGTAATGGATAAATCTGCATCAGTATCTGAAATCAAATATTAACTATCTGTGACAAAAACTTCTATCGTAATCTAACAACTCAGTAGAGTGAGCTTTAAATAAAATAATAAAAAGAATACTTTATAAACATTTTATTTATAATTATATTATTATTTACTTTATATTTATAAATAAACAGGGACTGAGCAGGCTGATATTTATTTGATTTAAATTGTTTATTTAATTTAAATAAACTTTGATGATAAATATAAGAGCTCAAAGTAATCAAAGCTTTAACCTTTAATTTATTTTAAATAAAATTTAAAAGTCTTCATATCATAAGAAGAAACCAGAATATAAGTTTATATGTTTAAAATATAAATTCAATTTAGAAGTATTCATATTATTAATAAAAGAGTAAGGATAATTATTATCATTGTTTTTTTTTTCTTTTAATTTATATAGTTTTGGTTGACTTTTTGTTTCTTTTTTTATTCTCCTCATTTATATTTCATTTGCATTTCTTCCTTTTTTGTTGTTGAGAACTTTATATTTTTTATGTGTCACTCCATTGACTAGTTTGTAACTATATAAGTGACACCTTACCAATTTTTGTAATCTTACAATGAAAATTTGTAAATTTTTATTATTATGGTTAAATAAAATTTAACATACACAGAATTTAAAATAGTAGCAACGTATCTTTAATCTTCTTTAAAGTGAGATTACTAAGGTTTATAGGTCAAATGTTGAAACCAATTTTTGTTCTATTTGCGGTAATCCCACACAAAAATTAATATAAATTCGTTACATAATACAAATTAAGGTTTTTTTTTCCATTTTATTTTTAAAAAGTTTTAATTTGTTTTAAATTATAAGGTTTTTATTCTGCATAAAAATGCTAATTCAGTTCATCTAAGTCACACTTGGAAGCCTTCAAAGTGTATGAAGACCTTCCTTAATTTTACTATTATATTCAAAATATTTCTACTTATTTATTATCATCCCCTCCATAACAAGACATTTGGGAGTAAATAATACTAAGTATATGGTATAGACTCCAACTTTAACTCTGTAGTCCTGAATTTACAACTTAATTAGACACTGGCAATTAGCATATTTTTATAACTTGTACAACAGTAGCTTATAACTTTAATTACTTAAAATTTTTTGCCAAAGCCAAAGATTCGGCAAAAATTTGACCTGGCTTCGGCCGAACCGAAGCTTCGGCAAAATTGCCGAAGCTTCGGCATGTCGAAGGCAACGCCGAAGTTTTGGTACATCCCTACTAATTATTTGTAAAGGATGGCTAATGCTTTCCCAACAAAAAGCATTAGTTGATGTATTTGTATATTTAATTCGCATATTTTTAATTAAATGACGTATATACATAGAGTGAAAAGAATTTAAACATTATTGCAATATATCAAGACATTTCATGTTACGTTATATGAGACAAAAAGAACATAAAATTGTTCCTTACTATTTGTATACTTTATACTTATACACTTTTTTAAATTAAATATTTAGTTTGAATTCTACCTAGTTATATTTTTAATAAACATTGTTCTTCTTTTGTGAACTATAAAAATACTCTATAAGTTTTTTTGAGCTCTTAATTCTTCTAACTCTTTTTTAAGTCTTGCTTCCTTCAACTCAAGTAACTCTTTTTGAAGCTCAGATTCTCGAAGCTCTATTGATTTTTCCGACATTTTTTCGTTTTTTTCAAGTTTCAATTCTTCTTCTTTAACTACTTTTTCTAGCTCTTTTGTATCTTGCGCAAGTGGAAGAAGTTTTGAAAATTCAACGTTTTTAAGAATTCCTATTATGACGTCACCCCATTTTGGACTCATAGCTTTAACAAGTGGACCAATTGCATCAAAAACTTTATCTTTTTGCGTTTTTTGTTGTTCCTGCGGTAAAAGAGAAAGCAAAGTGTCAATTGCTAGACCTGTTTGTTGAGAAGTGTTGTTATTTTGACTTTTATTATTAGAGCTGACATTGTTGTTGTTGTTGTTGTTGTTGGTGTTGTTATTGTTGTTGTTTGGATTGTAATTAGAAGCTAATTGACCAGCAAAATTAGCAAGTGATCCAAAATTCTAAATTAACGAATTATTAATTGATATTTAAATAGGATGAAAAATCTTAACTAAAAAGACAAAAAAACCTAATATACAAAAAATAAATAAACAAAAGCTTATAAAAATTTAGATCAATATAAACAAAAAATTTTATTTTTAAAAATAATAACAAGAGTAACCATTTTAAAAGGTTTTAAAAACAACTTTGATCGAAGCTGAAAAGAGATGATTGAATATCTGTAATAAATTTGTTAGATGAAAATTCGTTAAATGATGGAAGATGACTGAAATTTTCTGAAGAACTTTCTTATAGATAAAAAGTTTAAGTGGTATTTTTGAATATCAATTTTTGAAAAATTATACTTTTGAATATTTTTAAAATAATATGCATTGAAAGTAATTTGAATTCAAGTTTGAATACCTCATAATTTATTAAAAACTCGTTAGTTATTAATTAACAACGCAGAAGTTTTAAAAAGTGGAATAACTTTTGATATAAGTGAAATTTGGTGGCTTGACTAAGAATTACTCGTTAGACATTCAAATACGCATTGGTTTTAATAAACAGCGCCTTTGGATTGTGAAACTGTGCAAAGCGTCTGTTTTTATATATATGTCATTCATCTAGGCGACAAATAGGGACAAACTTAGGGGACAAACTTTATAACTGTGAATTTATATTCGAATATTGTAAGCCTAGTAGTTTTAAAATCCTAATCTACACCTTTTCAAGATGTAATTGAGAAAACAAAAATTGTAATTAAGAATCGTAAGATGTAATTGAGAAAACAAAAGTTGTAATTAAGAAATGTAAGATGTAATTGAGAAAACGGAAGTTGTAATTAAGAAACATAAGATGTAATTTAGAAAACGAAAATTGTAATTAAGAATCGTAACATGTAATTGAGAAAATGTAAGTTGTAATTAAGAAATAGAAAATGTAATTGAGAACACGAAAATTTTAATTTAGATATCGCTTTAAAGGAGTAAGTGTAAAATGGCGCTTAAAAAAAATGGCGCGTAAAAAAATGGAGCGTATAAAATGACGCACTTAAAAATGACGCAAGATTTGTAGCGTAAATTTAATTTTTTAGGGAAAAATTTAGGGAAAAATTTATAATTTTTGGGCAAATGAATTTAACATAATAAACACTAAAAACATTTTAGGGAAAAATTTATAATTCAATTAAAAATTATAATTAAAAATTATATAATTAAAAATCATTTCATTGATCATTTAAGCACCAACTTGAACGTCTTCCATATTTAAAAGAGTTGCATAGTGCGTGGTTGTGTGTTGTACCGCACGTGCACAATCTCCTCCTATTATAGTATTTTTCGCCTCAATTACAATTCGTTCTAAGTACTGCATGCGCTGTTCCGCAATCCCGTCACCTAATACAGGTGGAATGCGAATTGCATTTTTAACGTTACTTTTAATTTTGGACCAGATCGTTTCCACCGGGTTCAACATTGGACTGTAAGGTCCCAAACGTAACAACTGAGCTGGTGAATTATCAAACACCCTTTGCAAACGAGCGTGACAAGGAGCATTATCTGTTACGACGACCAAATCCTCCAAACAATTCCCGGATGTAACCCACTGTTGAAACATAGCCAACATCCACTCGTTACAGGAATCTGCTTTAAATGATCCCCTGCGAGTTTCTATCAAGACGACATTTGTAGTTGAAATAGCTGCGATCAAGTGTATGTTTAAACCTTTTGAAGCAGGTACTTTCATAATTGCTCTTTTTCCTTGTCTCGCGCGTCCTTGCGTTTTTCTACAAAAAAGGTTAAAATTTGTTTTATCCAACCAAACTATCTGACGACCATTTGTGATATGTTCGTTGATGTTTCTAACATATTCAGCTCTTTTTTGTTTGCTTTCATGACTGTTCATTGTAGAAGGCTCCTTGTGCACTTTTTTTAATGAGAACAATCTGCCTTCGAGGTAATTTGCTATTGTTGTTGTGCTAACGTTTATGTTAAATTGTCTTAATATCTTTGTTTTGATGGCCACCATTGTTAATTGACAATCATTTTCAATCCATGTTAATGTTTCTTCGATTTGATCTTTGGTCAACTTTTTCGGTTTAAAACCTCCTTTTCCGATGAAATTTGAATTTCCGCTGCGAACCCAATTGTATGCTGTCTTATATTTGATACCTAGCGTTTGCGCGAGATTCACCCAATCTTTAAATCGCTCCGCACATTCAACAACTCTTCTCCTGTCATTTGGAGAAGATAAAACGTAACGTTTCCTTTCAACTTGTTCAGTTGTGTGTATTTCATGCCGACAAATCGGACAACTTGAATCTGGTTGTTCCAGAACTGGACGTAAACAAATTTGGTGACATAAATGTTGACACGGATTTAGCTTAATCACAGACTTTCGGGTCATAGTGTATTGGCATATAACACAACGATCTTTCAATTCCATTATTATTACTTGTGCATACAAAAGCAAATTTAAGATTATAACTTAAATTCATGTCCAAAAAGACCTTTTGTAACAACATACAAACTTAGACTGTGAATTTGCTATTTTAATTTATGTGTTCTCAATTACAAGTTACGATTTCTCAATTACATATTATGATTTCTCAATTATATCTTACGTTTTCTCAATTACATGTTGTGTTTCTTAATTACATGTTACGACTTCTTATTTACCTGTTGTGTTTCTCAATTACATATAACGTTTTCTCAATTACATGTTGTGTTTCTTAATTACATATGACGACTTCTTAATTACAACTTTCATGTTCTCATTTACATCTTGAAAAGGTGTAGTTATAAAATAGTTGAATATAGTAACGTGTTATTTAATCAAGTTGCGTAATAGTTAAATCTAGTTACGTAATAGTTAAATCTAGTTACGTAATATTTAAACTACCCAGTGGGCACAAAGCGAAATAAAGGCGTCTTCTAAACGTCTTTTGAACGTATATCCAGCTTGAGTTTAAAAAGGTAAAAAGAATTTGGTTTTTTGAGAAACAAGTTGATATACACTTATATAGAGCATATTTCTAAAAATATCTGAAGAACTTATTTTCAGTATGAGCGAATTTATGCAAAACTTATGCATAATTTATTTAAAATTTATGCAAAATTGTGCCGCTCTAAATATTATTTAATTAAAAAAAATAATTACTACATAAAAGGGCGCTAATGCGCTTTGTTATTATTTTTTAATTTATTTAAAATTAGTAACTTTTTAAAGCTGTTTTTTTTATATATAACTATTATTATTAGTTATGTTATTTTTTTAATTACGTCACGTTTTTCTTTAGGTTGTCACATGAAAACAAAATTTCTTTGTGTTTTGAAAACAAGCTCTTTATATAGGTAGTGGTATGATTAAACTTTCCGAAACTTTTGTTTTATTTAAAAATTAAAGTATCAAATGTTGGAGTTACATTTCAAAGTTCTTTAAATATTGATTTGTCAAAAATAATATCATTTCTTTCAAACCTTTCATTTCTTCAAATAGAAGAAATGGAAGGTTAATTTTTTATAGTTTAAAATTATAAAACTGTATAGTTTTATAATTTTTGTAATTTTTAAACGCTGTATAGCTTTAAACGTTATACAGTTTTGGTAATTTTTAAACGCTCAGAGAAGATTACTAAATGAATGATTGCTTTAAAGATTTTAAAAAGAATATTTTTAACTTAATCATAGCAATCTACACCTATATTTGCGTTTATTTAATCAGGTCCAGTTGCTTTTTCTTTTCTTTTTTTAAGGATTTAAAAGCTTTCTTAAATTCTTCAAAGGATAATTCGGACTATAATTCATCAGAGCAATTGACTTAATCAAGAGGTATTAAAAACTTTATTTAAATTTTTTATGTATCCGTAACATTTGGAAAGTTAGCATCGTAAACGGTAATGATTGTTTTAAAGAAATTTTCATAAAGATTATTAGCGTTATTATTAAAGTTTAAATGTTTATTAGCGTTATTATTAAAGTTTAAATAAATCAGCATTAGTTGGTTTTTAAACGATTCAATATTTGATTGATTAAAAATACGTTTAGTTAAGATTTTGTCAGGGTTTTTTACATTTGCTTGGTTAGTGATTATAGTCAGAAAAATAGGAAAATTATCTGTTTTTAGGAGCCCTTTTATTTATATCATTATTGAAGATGTCAGCTATAATGATATCTAGTAAAGTTGCTGAGTATTTTGTCAATCTTGTTGGGCGATTTGTTAATGGAAAAGATTAAAAAATTGAATCATAAAAGTTTCTAACTTTTATGATTCAATTTCATATTTTAATAATACTAGTTTAAACTTCATATTTTCTTGATATAACCACAAATTCCATATTTTCTTGATTTTAGTACAAGTTTTATATTTTCTTGAAAAAGCTATAAGCACATTTGTTATAAGCGCACATTTGTTATAAGCACATTTGTTATAAGCGCAAGTCAATATATGTTATATAAATCTATTCTATTATTTTGAGATTACTTACATACCTTATAACATTTTCTTATATATTGAAAGATTTTTTGGAAGTACGAGATTAGTAAAAACAAAAATAAACAATACAATTCCTTACTATAAACTCTTTCGTCAAAATCAAAAGTCCTTTAATGATCGCGATCGTCTATTTTCTCTGACTTCGACATTGTTTTTATTTGGGGTCTAAAGAATATACCGTCTTGGATATTTGCCTCAGACAGCTTTGGAAACATAAGACCATTTTCTTGCAAAGCTTCTCCTAAAAAATATACAACTTTTACAAACTTTTGCACTTAGTTTGATATTAAGTATTGAAATGAATTAGGGGTGGCAAGACTTAATTGTAATCTATTAAAGGCAGCTTGAGAATATTGAACTATCATCAACAATTATTTATTATTATCGTTGTCTTCTTTTTTCTGTACTGATTAAACAAGAGGCAAAGACGGATATTTATTTTCATTGTGGAGCAACACTGCTTTGAGACTCCGTTTTGAGCTACGGTGGCGTCCTAAATTTAAGGACAGTCACTTTTTTTGCTATAAAATTTGAACGACGCTTTCAATGTTCTTGAAATTTTCGCTAAATATAGCTAATAGTATTACTTATCTGAATATATAATATTCTTTTATTCAAACTAATATTTAATTATATAGTTAAAAAAAGATTAGGTTTTCTTTGCGGTTTAAAAGTTTAAAGACACTTGTAGCTTTATTAACGGGACTAAATAAGTTAGTTTATTGTGCTACGATAGTTTGTTTACATTTTGTTAGTTTACGTTTTGTTTGTTTACGTTTTATTTTAATTAATTTTTTATGCAAGTTTAATTTAATTTTATCAATCTTTTTTATTCAAAACAGGAAAAAAAAAATTTGAA